TTATAGTATGTTCAATTTATCGCCCACTTAGTGCATGCGAAGTTGAAATGATTAAGAAGTGGATTAAATCACCTTTCATTAAAATGGAGTAAACCACTGACCATGAAAATCGTTATTTATCGAGCATTCAGTTATCAGATAGTCCTTGCGCTTTGACTTTTGCTGAAGTAATTTATAAGCTAGCTTTTGAAGAATTTTTTATATTTAAAGAAAGTCTAGCAGATGATAATATGAAACAGACCACCATTGTAAGTGAAGAATAGGCATTCAATATCTTCGTTCTTAATCTTAATAAATTGAAGTGAATATATTATATGTAAAAATAATGAAATTTATATTATTTAGTTTTTTTTTCGATAAGTTATCAGTTTTACTTTAACGGTTAATAAATAAACGCAACTATAATTTAGTTTAATGTTTGAAATTTATAATAGTGTTGATCTTTTTCATGCAAAAAAAAGAAAATGTAATTTAGAATCAATAAATCCTGTTTTGTTGATTACTAAAATCATATTAGTGGTTAGGGTGTCATAGCGGTTTGATTACTGTATATGATAAATGACATAGTAAACAAGTATATGGGGTCTTTGCCTTGAAAATGACCTTACGGTACATGATATCGTAAGGTCATTTTCAAGGCAAAGACCCCATATGTTACTAGCTAGCGACTGTAAATAACAAGAGCATGTACGTAGAATATGAATAAGTGAATGTACATAAATAAATTTACATTTATTAACCTTTTTTAATGCGACCTTTAAAATCAAGATAAAAAACCAATTATTAAAATTAAATAGTTCTAAGGAATAAAGGATTTGATCATATTAAAGAGCACGCTAAAAGAAGTCAATAAATTTAAAATTATTACTAATTCAAGAGATATTGAAAATTCAACTTATATGTTTAACTATGTCTATTTGGATACTTCTCTCCCCAAATTCAAGCACTATTTATAATCCAACACATGATTAATTTTCTCATAATTTGTTGTATGCATAACTCCAGTAATACTAAATTCAATATACATTTAGAATTTTAAAGCATCTCTAATTGACAGCTCTAATTCAAATAGATGAATACAAATAATCCACAACAAAGAACTGATATACTATCAGCCTAACATATTATCCTCAAACAATTTGAAATTAAAGAAGGCGTGTAGCTTTATAAATGTAAAGAATGAATAAATGCATAATACTGAATTTTCACAATAGAAATCTAATCTTCGATTGATTCAAAAATCACATTAGAGTCATCAACCTAACAAAAATTTCTCTATCCGGTCAAATCAAATTTTAAGATCAAATGTAACATAAAATACATCAACCCTAACATTAATAAAGAAATTTTTAGTTTGGTGACGCTGGCGTCGGGATCTTAGATTTAGGCGATTATCG